TATATATATATATATATCGCGTTTCACGCCTAAGTAAATATCGCTCGTATGGCTAATGTTACGAAGGAGAATGTGGATTCTGTAAGAAGACACTTCAAGTTTCCGCATTCATCGCAAATATTTCCTGAGACCGGGAAACGTTAGACGCTAAATCTTCGCCTCGGCAACATCGACATTACAAACAGCCTCGTCATCGTCGCTTGCTCCGATCGCTTATCACGCGCGCGTTTCCTCTCCGTATTATATACATATATACGTATATCGAGACAAGTCAAAGTGTTTCTCTCTATCTCGATATGTAATCCTACTTGCCTCGGCGCTTCGTTCGATGGACGACCGAGTTTCACGCAAATCCATCCGAATCCCGAGCGATTACATCGATTATCGCATCTCTAGCGCGAGTAATGTCACTCGACGCGCACTCGATCTCGCGTTTGTTCGCACTCCCCTGCGTGTTGCGGACCAGCAACGCATCTTCTACACACGTATGTGTTTACTATCGCGTCCCTTCAATCTCCCTCGTGAGGGCGATTTACGAGATAAATAAGCGAGACGGATCGGCCAAGGAAGAAAGTAAAGGTCTCCTTACCTTGAATAGTTTCTTAAGCCTCCGGTAGCCGCGATGTAATCGCGACACGTACTGCTTGTTGGAATCCAGTTTGATTGATTAAAGCCACAGTTGCGGGAACGAAGATGAAGGACCGAAACCGAAATGACGGGGATGATATTGTAGAGCGGGATGGAAGAACAACTTTTTTTGGATGCGATGTAGGCGGATAATGATGTAGTGATGAAACTTGAAAAGCGGATCTGTGTCGCGGTTGTTGTTGTTGTTGTACGATCTGACTTATGCTGTCACGTCGCCGTGGTCGCCGATCACCGACTGCGTATACCCGACGACAGCGTTGTTTCTCGCGGGTCAGTCTCGGATGGTACATATATATTGTCGTATATATGCATGCGCGGGAACCGAAGAACGAAAAACACGTTCGTGGCCGTTAAGAGCCGTTCGCTTACTGAATCCGACCGTTGGCGTATCCCGGCTGCTAACCCGCGCGCTTTCTCCCCACCACGGGACCGCCCGAGTTGGCGGCAAGCTTCTCCGGGTCCCCCCACTTGGACCCGACCGTGTTCCCCACTATCGCGCCGGATCCGGGGGATTCCGGCCAATGGTGGGGAATTGGCGCGTGAGGGGCACCCCCGGCATCTCTTCCTCGCCGGTAATCTTTACCGCGGATCGTAAAGCACGCTTACCCCTGCGGTCAAGTGCGAAAATTGCAACGAAAGCACCGGGACGCGCCTCCTCGAGTAGCGCTTTCTCGCATCATTTCCCGCATTCCACTCGTCGACAGTTTGACAGTCGGTGATCGGGAATACGTCAGAATTTAGAAGAATGAAAATTATACGTGATATAGCGTTAGATTAATGACCCCGATACGTTAGAGAGAGAGAGAGAGAGAGAGAGAGGCAAAGATTCTGTATCAAGGACCGAGATATGCCCACTGTCTCTATTAAAGTCGAAGGGTCCTCCTCGCGAGTATCCCTTCGCATTATCGATGGTAAACAGCGTCGACAGTTTGTCACACCGTCGCCGATCGCTCGCGACGACTTTACGTTGCGATTTCGAGCGAGCACCGCCGGAGGGGAAGCTGCGCGCGCGCGCCTGCCTGCCTGCGCCCATATGGTAGGGGACAGGACGATTTCGCGCCCAACGGATGGGGGAAACCAGGGAAACCCCACGCACGGCGCATGCACCGGTCGCCGAGTTGGTGGGGTTTCTCAAACGACGGCGCCAGAATCCACCCCTCCTGTCCTCCTACTTCCCTTCCTCCCTCTCCTCTTTCCCGCGTCCGGCGGCGGGGGAAGGGGGAGGAGGGTTGGGGCGAGGGGAGTATGGTTCCTCGTCGGTGCACTCTCGCCTTGGAAGGGAGCGCACCGATCACACGCGCGGCGATATTCGCGCTCTCTCTCTCTCTCTCTCTCTCTTTACCTCTCACGCCCCCCCTCCTACCCCCCTTCTATCCTTCCCACCGACTCCGATGTGTTTGTTTGTTTATAGTCGTGTTCTGGGAAATACCCGATACGAGTAACGGAGTCTCATACGCGCGCCATACCATACCATGCCATGCCATGCCATGCTATGCCGTACCGTGCCGTGCCGCGCTGCGTCGCTTGCATTCCCATTCTGGAGTTGCATCCGGTCGGTTCTCGGATTCCTCCGAGACTTCGAAAAGCGGCCGCGTCCGTTCCCGATGGTGCGGCGGCGGTGGTATGCGCGCGGCCCGGATCTTTGGGATCTCTCTTTTCGGCCGCTTCCCGCCCTTTTTCTTTTTTTTCCCGTTACCTGCGCGTACGCGCTCCTGGGTGCCTTTTGACTTTTTCCGAGGAAAAAGAGACGGATTTTTTTTTTTTTTTTCTGAATGGCAACGAAATCGCAACGTAAAAATGCGGACGTATTCGAAAAAAAAGAGAGAGGAAAGTACGTCTACTTATATACGCGTCTCCATTCGCTCATTAAAATAATCGACGTAGCAGAAAGATATACTTTCTCGTGAGAGATTTGTGTAGAATGTTGATCGAAGAAAGAAACTCTGTCCTATATAATACACGATCTTATATCTTTTATATAACCCACACTCCGATACCCTGTAGTCCAGTTACTTCGGATATCCCGACACCCATCCGTTTATAATTTATTAATATGAACGGAACGATCGAGTGCACGGTTGTGATCGTTGATCATCGTCGACGGCGCGGCCGCGGGTTCCCTTCCGTAAATCTTCCTGACGCGTCGATAGATAACCCTCTCGCCCGCGACTCTCGTGCGGTCGACGCGGACAGGC